TCCCCAGGGTCGCTCCTCCACCAGGGCCGCTCCTCCCCAGGGCCGCTCCTCCACCAGGGCCTGTCATCCCTAGGGTCTGTCCTCCCTAGGGCCACTCCTCCCCAAGACCCTCCTCCCCAGGGCCACTCCTCCCCAGGGCAGCTCCTCCCCAGGGCAGCTCCTCCCCAGGGCCTGTTCTCCTCCAGAACTGCTCCTTCCCCAGGGCTGCTCCTCCGCAGGGCTGCTCCTCCACCAGGGCCTGTCCTCCCCAGGACCACTCCTCCCAGGACCCTCCTCCCCAGGGCCACTCCTCCCCAGGACCCTCCTCCCCAGGGCCACTCCTACCCAGGGCAGCTCCTCCCCAGGGCCTGTTATCCCCCAGAACTGCTCCTTCCTCAGGGCTGCTCCTCCCCAGGACCCTCCTCCCCAGGGCCACTCCTACCCAGGGCAGCTCCTCTACCAGGGCCACTCCTCCACCAGGGCCTGTCCTCCCCAGGGCCACTCCTACCCAGGGCAGCTCTTCCCCAGGGCCTGTTCTCCCCCAGAACTGCTCCTTCCTCAGGGCTGCTCCTCCCCAGGACCCTCCTCTCCAGGGCTACTCCCCAGGATCATCCTCCTCAGGGCCGCTCCTCCCCCAGGGCCACTCCTCCCCAGGGCCACTCCTCCCCAGGGCCACTCTTCCCCTAGGGCCGCTCCTCCACCAGGGCTGCTCATTCCCAAGACCCTCCTCCCCAGGGCTGCTCCTCCCAGGTCCTAAGCAACTCAGTGAGACCCTGTCTCTAAATAAAATACAAAATAGGGCTGGGGACATGGCTCAGAGGTCGAGTGCCTCAGAGTTCAATCCTGGTACCCCCCCCCTTCAAAAAAAAAAAAAGTACAGGCAGTTGCTCAGGGTGGGATGTGGCAAGGTGGTGGAGCGCTTGAGGCCCTGAGTCTGTCCCAGCACTGTCCCCAATTGCTCGAGACCACCAAACTCCCCTGCCTACACTTCCTGTCCTTAGGAGAGGCTTCAGATAGCCCTAACCCCCAGCGTACTCTCCACGACTCACAGAGAAATTCTGAGAGGAAAGCTACTTGCTTCTGCCTTCTGAGGTGCTGAGGTGAGGGACAAGCACAGGAAGGTGGGTGACGGGGGTCTCGCAGCCGCCGTCCCACACTGAGCGGAAGAGGGAGGGAAGCGGTGGGCTCTGCAGGCGTCCAGTCCAGGGCCCTGGAATCAGAGCCCTGCTGGGCGAGGCTTGACCCTTGGCCTCTTGACCACTCTGGGCTTTGGCTGGTGGCAAAGGCTGGTTCCTAACATGTGGGTCCAGCGCTCCTGCATGCTCTGAAGGATGGTGGCCCACCTTTGTACGAGCTCCCCCTGCAGGGGCGTTGAGGGCAGGGTCTCCACCTGTCCTCAGGTTCTCCTCTGGGACAGGCCCGCTCTGCTGTGTGGCTCATGCTCAGTGACAGGAAGCTTCCTTTCTCCCCGAGAGCCCTTCAGGGAGAGCCGTGTGGTCTGCGGTGCCACTCAGTGAGACGGTGGGGGGAGGAACAAAGGGCGGTGTCGCGGTGGGACCCGGGCACAGCTCAGGTGCTGGTGGGCTAGGGTGTGCCCGGCCTCCTGGGTGTGCCGCCTTCGAGTGGGACCCCGTGAGCACTGGAGGTGCGTGGAGGAGGGCGAGGGTGTCCCTCCGTGTCTGTTGGCAACAGGCTCTCCAGCCATCCCCGGGACTCTGCGTCCTTAAGCTCGGCCTGCTGATGAGCAGGAGTCCGTCTTGCTCTCCATCGCGCCTGTTCTGTCCTCCGCCGGGGCAGTCTGTGGAGGGCATGGCGGCCGGTACCATGAACAGGTGTGTACTGTCTGTACTGTCACTTTGTCCCTCTCAGCGAGGTTCATTCCTGTCCTGATGTTCCATGTCCCCACGGTGCCTCTGATGGAGCTGGCACCACGAGCTCGCGGGCAGCTGGGGTGCATCAGGGTTTCCCGTCAGGCATAAGCACTGCTCAGGTGGCAGGTGGCAGAGTGACCCTGGAGGTGGCTCATCAAAGCCAGGTGGAGATGCTCCAGCTCCTTCCTAGGTGTGGGGCTGCTGCTCACCTGGGCACCCTCCCTCCACAGGGCACGCTCATCCAGCACCTGAAGGAGCACATTCTGCATGGGGACATGCGCTGCAGTGACGTCCTGCTCTACTACACCACGGTGAGCCCCTCACGTCTGCCTGAGGTCCCCCTGGGTGCTGGGCTGTGCTGTGGGATGGCAGGCGGACATGGCCCTGCCACCAGGTGTGCACATGGGTGGGCGGTGGCCCTGCATGCAGGTGTGGAGGGATTACTGTCCTTGCTGGGCACAAAGCACAGGCTCAGGGGGGTCAAAGGGATGTGTCCAACCCCGAAGGAGAACTTGGGGTTGGCCTTTTCCAAGAATGCCAGTATCAAGAGGTTCCGGAATAATCCAGCGGTGTTTCCTGGATGGCACAACTGTGCTGCGTTTTTAGGAAGCGGGTACTGGAGGTAGGTGCCTGCCCTGCCCAGGCTGTTCCCTCTGTGACAGGCCATCTGGACCCCTTGAAGACATAGGAGCAGGACCAGGACACGCCCAGGGACCACCGTAGGCAGGGTACCTGGGTTTCTGTGCCCGGCTATGAATGAGGGGCTTGGGCCAAAAGACTCAGGGATCTTTTAGCAGCAAGATTGTTCCCTCCCTGTGCCTAGCACATGGCGCGTAGGCCTTGGTACCCCGGGCTCCAGGCCCATGTTCTGCCGTGTCCTGGTCTGGCACCCTCAGGTCGGGTCCCCTGCAGCTCTAGGAATGAGTCCCTGCTGCCCCCCACGGAGGTGGGTTCTGGGCTGAGGAGAGCACCACGGGAAGAGCCCTGTTGGGGCCGCCTCCAGGGTGTCGTGCTTTCTGGAAACATCCTGCCCCAGGCTGGCCACCCCATTCTGCCAAGTTGATTTCAACAGCAGCCTCAGGTGTGGTTGTAAGCATCCCCAGCCCTGGCCAGGCCCATTCTCTGTCACTCATGGACCTTACTTTAATGGCCTTGCTGGACAGTGCTGTGCCTGGAGGGCTGGGCTGCTGGGCCTCCAGCCTCTGCCTCCTCATCAGGGCTGAATCCTCGCTGGGAGAGCCTCGGCCAGTGGGTGGACACCTGTCTAAGCAGACTGGCTAAGTGGCGGCTCTGCCAGTGAGGGCCACTCACGTCGCAGAGGGCCGTCCTCAGGGCTTCGTGAGGCTCTTCATTGTGGCCCACACAGGTGGAGGCCAGAGTGGCTGAGGTGGCCAGCAGGAGGGTCCCAGTCTCAGGCCTGGCCACGGCTTGCTGGGTCCTGTGGTACCTGCCCGTCCGACCTGGGCCTCACACCACCCACCCGGGGAGCCACTCAGGAGCTTCCTCCTGCCTCCCGTCCCCACCACGGAGAGTGACCCTAGGTGCTGGGGGATGCCAGGGCCTCCACGACTTATGCTGAGTCCTCCCAGGTGGGGCATGACCCCTTGTCCTCACCTATGTGGGCAAGCAGCTGCACTCTCCTGCCCTCCAGGCTGAGGCCCCGCTGCGTCCCTGCTCCGTCGCCCTGTCTGTGCTCCAGATGGCCCCGAGGCTCTGTAGGTGGGAGCCTGGTGGGCGGGCCTGTGGGCACATTTTTGGAGTTTAAAATTCTTTTTTAAATTAAAAAAAGAATTGAAATAAAAAAAAATCCAATCCCTTCACATATGGTGAGGATTTTAAGCCACATCAGAAGGACACAGTGGAGGGGGCTGTTCTCCAGGGCCTGGGGACTGTGCCTGCCATCCTGGTACTGCTTCCCCGGGCAGGCCTGTGCGTGTGTTTGTGCGTGTGTGCATGTGTCCTCATGTGTGTGCATGTGTGTGTGTATGTGTGTGCATGTGTATGTGCATATGTGCTCATGTGTGCTTGTGTGTGCATATGAGCATGTGCGTGTGCATGTGTGCTCATGTGTGCATGTGTGCTCATGTGTGCGTGCATATGCATGTCCATGTGCACACACATACGTGTGTATATGTTTTCACGTGCATGCACATGTCCACGCAGTTGCACATGTGTGTATCCGTGGGCATGTGTACATGTGTGCATGCACACGTTATATTGCAGTTGTATGCGTGTACACATGTATACGTGTCTGTGTCTGTGTGGGTGCATGTGCGTGTCCGCCCTGTCTGCTCAAGGCTGTGCTACTGTGCCGTACTTGTTTTCCACCTTACAGCGTCTTGCCACGTGTCCCCCACCCATTGATCCTCTTCTCCGTGGTCACATGGGGCTGACTCTGAGTGCTTGCGAGGTGGGCGCTGAGCGTCCTGGGGTTTGACTGAGACCAGTGGAGTGCATGTGTCCTGTGGCTGTTGGTGGGTGCTGGTGGGTGCTGGGCTCGCTCAGTCTCACCCCAGCGAGGGCTCATAGATCTCCTCTGCCATGTCTCCACTCACGTGCAGCTGCCTCTGCACTCAGCCTGTGGCTGAGGCTGGTGCATCTGAGACGGGCAACTGCAGCCCATCCTGGGCTCTGGGCCGGGCAGTGCTTTTGGGCTGGTGGGGAGCTGGCGGCGCCCGTCTGAAGCTGTTGCTTGTGTTGCAGGTCGGCTGGATGATGTGGAACTGGATGGTGTCCGCTCTGGCCACCGGGGCATCTGTGGTCTTGTACGATGGGTCCCCCATGGTCCCGACGCCCAACGTGCTGTGGGACCTTGTGGACAGGATAGGGTAGGTACCTGATGTCCTGCTCAGCGGTGGAACAGCGCTGGTGTCCTTGGGAGGTGCTTTGGAATATACGCAGCTGCAGCCACATGTCCCCTTGCAGGCTGCTATCTCTGGAGTGCACTGCTACCTTGGACATCCACGCCCAGTGCTGGGAGGTCCAGGAGCAGCAAGAGGGCATGTTGGGCTGGTCCACTGCTGGGTCCACACTCCCTGGCAGGGTGAGAGGCACCTCTCAGGGCCTGGGGTGAGCTCGGCAGCTCCTGGAGAAGCTGTGGGTTTTGATTTTGGTACCTGGGACTGAACCCAAGGTGCCCAGCCACACAGCCCGCCCCAGCTGTTTTTGATTGTTATTCAGGACAGGGTCTCCTGAGTTGCTCAGGGCCTCACAGAGTTGCTGAGGCTGGCTGGTTTGGGGTTTGACTGAGAGCTTCCGGAGCTGCTGGGATTACAGGTGGGCGCCACGGTGCCTGACCCACATGGGACCTTTTGGGCCATCTGTTTTGGTGCAGTGCCAGGGAGCAAACCCAGGGTGTCCCTGAGGGCTGTGGCGGTGTTCTCTTGGCATCTTCCCTGAACATTATAACATTGGTACAAAGGTGTTTATGGTGTCTGGATGGTGTGGCCCTCTCTGTGGCCCTGTTAACTTCTCTTCCCTTGATGGGACACAGGACCCCCAACATACAAGGCACTGCAGGAGAAAGTATCAGAGTCACCGGGGCCTCGGGTTCAAGAGCGTGGGGAGGACCTGAGCAGCCCCCACCTAGCATTAGGAATGGTCTCAAGGCTCAGCGCCACCGGCCTGGGCTGAGGAATTAGTGGTGACACGTTCTTGTCACTCGCCTAATGACAGTATCTCTGGCAGTAAAAACTGGAGGCCACTGAGCTCCAGGAGCCGAAGTGTCCACGCTCTGAACCCCTGACCACGTCTTGTGGTGGAAACAGGAGCCACTAATCCTTTCAAATCCCCGCGGTCAGTGCTCTCCCTGCAGCCTGGCCTGCCTGGTGGTGCTGTATGAACCCGGGCGTCTGCCTTTCGGTGCTGGTGGGGAGGTCACTTCCTAAGGAGGCTGTTTGCTGTGCCAGGTCCATCAGATCCCTGGGAATCAGAGTGGCCTTCACTTCCCCCATACTACCTCTAGCCAGGCTCTGCCCGGAGACCCTGGTTTTTTGGTGCAGGTGTAGGTTGGAGGTCAGAAGGGGGCGGACAGGGACATGTGGTCACAGGCTTAGAGCCAACACGGCTGAGGGACAGAGGTCCGGCAGCCAACCCTGCTCCATGTACGCACACGCATGTGTGAAGGAAATGTGTGATGGCGTATTCATGTGTGTGTGCGTGTGAGTGAGGAGTCACGTGTGTGCACGTGGGTGTGCATGTGCATGGGTGTGCAGGTGTGTGCTCGCAGCCTGGGGACTGGCTCTGTGTGGTACGCTCCTGCTGAGCGCATGTCCTCCTTCCCCTGGGGCCTGTGCCTGACGCTCAGGCCTGGCCTTTCCCTCTGCGGGGGCCTGTGGACGGGGTACAGGCCTGTACCCCGCGGAGAGCTCGCCCACTCAGGGTCAGGAAGGTGGGTGTCCCTTGGCTCAAGGGTGGGGGCGGCGGCCAGGCACAGTCCTTCCAGCTGTCTCAGTTTCTCTGTTTTTTCCTGTGGTGCTGGGGTTGAATCCAGGCCTGTGCGTACGAGGCAAGCTCTCTACCCGCTGAGCTACGTCCCCAGCCCAGTTTCTCTGGTTTTTAAACAACGTCGCACGTTGAAGAGCAGATTGTTGCCATTTGGCCTCCACTTGCAGACGTGCCGACTCATGACACCTGGGTGTCCATTTTGGGGCACACACTCCTTTTAAAAGGTGGCTTTTCTCCTTCACTGGTGCTGTATTTGCCTGCTCCATGTCTGGCGAGGGGAACCTTCTGGTTAGAGGCAGTCTGAGCTCCAGGTCCTTGTCCTCCTGCGGGTACCAAGGGGCGGGGAGGTCGTCGGAGCTGCCATCTACGGGGAGGGGGGGCATGGCTGCAGTGGGGCATCCTGGATGGCAGGCCCTGCAGGGAAGAGGCCATGGCAACACCGCGTGCCATAGGACGTGCTGCGTGTCAGCCCTGCTGGGCCTGGTTCTTGACCTCCTGGAGTCGACTGGCGCAGAGAGGCCAGGGAGAGCCAGGAGGGCCAGCTGCTGTGGGCCTGGGGTCTGCAGGGCCTCAGAGGTCATGGCACAGGGCCGAGGCCTGCGAGTAGAGTGCTCTTGAGTTCTTCACTGCTGTGACCAAAGGCCTGACGAGGATAGTAGAGCAGGAGCCTGGCTGTGGCTCCTGCTTTTGGGGTGAGGCCGGGAGAGCTGCTCCAAAGGGACCCACCTGCTGTTGGCTTGGCCATTCCCATGCCAGCCCCAGGATCCCAATGTCTACGGCATCGGGTGGGCGAGCCAGGCCTGTGCCGGACAGAGGCTGTCCCAGGGAGCAGGGGATGGGAGCTTTGGAACTGCCAGCCTCCCGGGGCCCAGGAGCGTGCCTCTGGTTGGGAAGGTGGGGTCTGCTGGTAGGGCCACTGTGCTACCAGAGAAGCCATGGAGGGGCTGGGCAAGGTGGCCCATACCTGTAATCCCAGGGGCTGGGGTGGGGGGACTGAGGCAGGATCGCAAGTTCAAAGCCAGCCTCAGCAAAAGTGAGGTGCTAAGCTACTCAGTGAGACCCTGTCTCTAAATAAAATACAAAATAGGGCTGGGGAGGTGGCTCAGTGGCCGAGTGCCCCTGAGTTCAATCCCTGGAACCCATCCCACCCCCTGCAAAAAAAAGAGAAGCCAGGTGGGGTGGAGTAGGACCTGAGCCCCCAGTGGCAAGTCCGCAACAGAGTGCTGGATGCCGTGGGGCTCAGGGCACGGAGGAGAGCAGCATGGTCTCAGCTTTATGCCAACACAGCTCACTGCAGGCGAGGCCGGGCTGGGGGCTTTTGGCTCCTGCTTTACCAAGCAAGGCTATCTGCAGCTCTGTCTGCTTCCTCAGAGTGAGGGCAAAGTCAGGCTAGAGGGCTTGGCCAAGCCCTGCACCTTCCTGTGGCTGAGCCAGACCCACCACGCTGAGCTGTGCACAGAGGGAGCCAGTCCCCGCACCATGATGTCAAGGTGGAGATGCGTCCCTCAAGCCTGGAGGGAGCCCAGTGCAGGGACTCTCCCAGGTGAGGGTGGGACGTTGGCAATCCAGAGGAGGTCCTCGCCTGTTGGTCTTGTGGACTTGTAGGAATGAGTCACCAGCGCAGAGAGCGTTGGTGTGGGGACATGTGTGGGATGCACAGGACCCTGGGGAGCCCCTGATGTCTCCTTTCCCTCCCGTGCCCCTAGCATCACCATCCTTGGGACGGGTGCCAAGTGGCTGTCTGTGCTGGAGGAGAAGGACCTGAAGCCGGGTGAGTGTGCCTCGCCCTGGACTGCCACCATGTGCGCACCTGTGGGCTCCCAGTGCCGGGCTTGGCTCTAATCTCTTGGTGGCTGTCCCCCAGTGGAAACCCACAGTCTGCAGACGCTGCACACGATTCTGTCCACGGGCTCCCCGCTGAAGGCCCAGAGCTACGAGTATGTCTACAGGTGCATCAAGAGCAGCGTCCTGCTGGGCTCCATCTCAGGTATGGCTCCACCCCAGGCTCGGTGGTGGGTGGAGATGTGGCGTGCAGCCAGGGAATGGGGTGGCGGCGACAGTGACAACCAGGCTGGCCTGCTGGGTCACCCACTGATTACACCAGCCCACGTCTTTGGACTGATCCCACCTGGCAGGAGGGCTGGGCCTCATGCACTCCTTATTGAGGTGCTGAACCCCTGTTCCTGGTGGAGTGCACGCACGTCTCACATCAGTTGTGATCGGAGCCCCCAAATAGCTCAGCCTGGTTGTCTGTGTGTATGATGAGGGTGAGGTGCAGCAGGTGGAGAGACTTCCCTGGCTCCCCAGGAGCAGGTCTCTGAGCTGGGAGCCTCGTCCTAGCTTCCATCTGAGGAGGGTTGAGGCAGGAAGGTCAAGCCGCCTCGAGCACCTGCCCAGCAAGCGTGGGGCCACTTACATTTCCGGTTGCTCTGCACATGTCTGGGAGTGACCCAAAGGTCAAGAGTCTGACTTTGGGGTTAAAGATAGATTTTAGCAAGTAGGCACTTTGCGAATACAGGATCTGAAAAATGAGGATCGATTGTGTGTAAGGACGGTTATTGTGACATTGTTGACACTGATAAAAAACATAGGTTGCCTTTATACGCCTCTGGAAAGGATTTACCTGAACGATTTGTGACCTCAATTTATGCAGTCCCTAGAAGTGACAGTATGGAGGTGGTTATTTGGATAGGATCCCGCTGATTGTTGTTGAGAGGGGTCACGACATGTTGAGTGGAAAAGGAATGATTATTGGTCAAAATAGATTAAGAGGGACCCCTGGGTGAGGCTGTTCCTTATATGTGCATGGGGGTGCCCTGTGTGTGTGTGCGTGGGGGCACCCTGTGTGTGGATTGCAACCTTCTTTTTAACACAAAGCTGCTCTTTGGAGAATATTTTGTGTCCACTACAAAATTCAGAGTCCTCAGGGCAGCTGGGTGTGAAGTCTCCACAGCGTTCCCCCTTCTGGAAGTGGGTCCTTCCTGGGATCTTCCCTGTGTGTGGGGCCATGCGCCAGGACACCTGGCTCACATTCTTTTACACATTTACAATTCTGATTTTTTTCCTTGTGGTTTTAAAAAATACGTCCTTAGGACACATATTTTAAAGGTGCCATTTTACTTCGAGTAGCTGGAAGGGTGTCAGGAGCCGCGGGCCTCCATGGGGATTGTGCTGTGGTCTCCAGGGGTCCTTGCAGGCTTCACTGCCCTGATTCTGCCCCTCAAGGGGACCCAGGGGTCAGGGCTCTGGCCTTCAATGAAGGCCTAGTACAGGTCCTGGCCTTGCCCAGACCCTCCTGTGCCTGTTTCCTCTACGCTCCCCATGAAGTTTTGGGTTTCCCCAGAGCTGCTGGTGGCCCATTGCTGAGTTCTCCAGGATGTGTGCCCCAGGTGGCCCCCGCTTCCCGGAGCCAGGCTCCCCTGGCCCCGCTGATACAGATGCTCGGGTGCAGGGCAGTCCCCTCGTGGCTTCGTCTCTGAGGGTCTCCCCAGTGGGCATGTCGTCAGAACCGCCTCTTTTCTCCCTGCAGTCCTGCTTGTCCGTCCTCTGAGGGGGCACAGGCAGACCTTGCATCTGGTGGAGGTGCTCATGTCCCTATGAAGCCTGGAACCTGGTGGGACCTTGGTGGTGGCAGATGCGACCAGGACCCCTGCATTTTGTGGGATGTGCCAGGGAGTGACAGAGGTGCCAGAGACCCGGAGCAGGCGTCAGTCTTGTTCTCTGCACGGGAGGAACACAGACCCACAGAGGGAGGCCGAGGCAGACCCTCGGAGACTTGGAGATACCGAGTCATTTTTTGTGGTGGCCATCTCCTGCTCCGCCCACAGACAGAGTGCGATCACGGAAAAACTGTCCTAATTACGCACACTTTCCCAGGTGTGCAGCAGGCATGACGCAGGCTCCGCAGGGTTAAATGTGGCACAGACTCAACATAGCTCGGGTGCAGCAGGTGCCTCGAGGCCTCCTGGCTCCTCCCGCTCTCCTCTGCCTCACTGAGTGACATCCTGGGAGTCCTAGCCAGCCTGGCCTGACTGAGCACTCTGTGGTGTGCGTGTGAGCCTGCATGTGTTGCGTGTGTGCCCGGGCACAGCCCGCTGTGGCACTGGGGCCGCAGTGAGGGGACCCTTCTGGGCTTGAGCCTTGTGCTGCTCCCGGCCCCGCGTCCTCTGGTCTCTGTCCAAGCTCCTCCTGGAAGCCATGGTCTCTGGCCTGAGGCAGTGCCCTGGCATCCTGGCAGCCGGGAGGTCTCTGGCCCCAGTGACAGCCACGCACGGCCACTCTGCCCAAGTGGCTGTTGCACAGGGGACGATGGAGAGGCTTCCGTCTTCTGACACCGAGTTTTGAACTTCAGGGTGACATGGAGGGCATCTATTCAGTGTCCTCTGCAGGAAGCTGTCCTTCGTTCTCAGGGACACAGAGAAATGGGGTCTCTGTGCGTTTGATCTCAGTCTGACTGTCCTCACCTGCAGGTGGCACTGACATCATCTCCTGCTTCATGGGCCAGAACGTGTCCATCCCCGTGCACAAGGGTGAGGTGCAGGCCCGGAACCTGGCCATGGCCGTGGAGGCGTGGAACGAGGAAGGTGAGGCGCACTGGCTGCTCTAGGTGTAGGGGGGACAGGTGTGGGGGGGACAGGTGTGGGGGCACAGGTGTGGGGGGACAGGTGTGGGAAGGACAGG